ACACGCGCAAAAGGTAGAACAATATTTGGGAAATAAAAAAAGTCCTCAAATGTCCCTTTATCCTCTTGAAGCTCTCCGGAATTTATTCGAAAAATTTATGCGTCAAATTCCGGCGATGACTGCTACGTACTTTTTTGACATTTTCATTTCCACTCTTCCTTTACATTTCATCCCGTGCGATCCGGTCAATCGAACGCAACGAATAAAACGTCAACGATATACACCGGATACTTCATCGGGAAACGCTTATTTTAGGCGTTTCGTCGCAATTTTATTTTTTATGCACATCGATGTGGTACACATGCGTTTCCTCGACGCAATTAGCAGCATAAAATCGTCCGGCGGGTCGCAAAAAACAATGTTGTTGCGGATTGACTTTCTGCACAGGGAAGAATATTATTGTACCGCGAAAAAAAGCAATTATTCAGTTTATTTCTCTTCTTTTAAGTAACGGTCATCTTGAGTGAAGGATATTTTCTTGATAATAGTATTAAAATGTCACAAATATTAGGAAAGCTCATTATCATTTACCCAAGAATATTACGAGCTTTATTGAAGAAAAGTCAAATTCGACTAATTGGAATAAATAAACCGAAGTTTTAGTTTCAGTGTTTTAATTTAACACTCTTAATTGAAGTATTACATTTACTAGGACGATATTTGGAATAAATTTGATGTTTACGACGAACTTATGATATACTTGTAGATATATAAACTTACGGAATACTTGAAACAAACCATCTTAGTAAGTTTGGTACTTCAATTAAGAATATTAAATTGAAACCCTACAACCAAAACATCGGTTTATTTAATTCCAATTAACTGAATCTAACTTTTCTTCGGTAAAGTTTCTAATATTCTTAAAAAAATTAGCAAATTTTCCTCTTGAATAAATAATAACGAGCTTTTCTAGTATTTGTTATTATGTTAAGAAAATATTCCCCGTTCAAGATAACCATTACTTAAAAGAAGAGAGATAAGTCGGGTAATCGCTTTTCTTCGCTGTACAATGTTTTCCCCCGCGAGGCCTTTGCGGGCGACTTTCCTCGGATCAGCGCGATGGCCCGGGCGATAACGCTATGCGAAGTATCGTCCGGCTAAAATAAAGGATGAACCTGGAAATGAATGTTTATCTCTCTCCCGCGCGCCAGTTCCGCGCGAGGATTCCTCGCACGAAATGGCGGAACACATAAATAGTGAAATCGTGGCGCGATTGCGCAAAAGACACGCGATTGTAACTGCACTTGATAAATTACGACGAGCGTATGTGCGCGCGCGAATATCCACGCGAGCACGTCATTATCGTGCTCCTCCTTCGGCAGCGCGCGCGATGATTCCTCTTCGCGCAAAAAACACGAACACTCTCGCGGCGCAACTCGTTGCGTCTTCGCCGCGTGAAATCACTGTTGCGCCTTGTGCGTCGCTGCACATTTACATAAGAAATGTAACGTGCCTTGTATGTCATCTCTCGCGTGTCGGCGCCGCGCAAGAATCGATCGCTATCGCGCCCGGCAAATCGTGATTGATTTACCGCCGAGGTTGCGTCGCGATAATTTGCCGGTTTCTTCCGGAAACTATTACACGTACGTAAAATGAGACGAATAACGCCGTCGGACGTTCCCGGACAACCGGTCGGCGGAATATTATCTCCCCCTTCGGTGCCTCGAGCGAGCTTGCTTACTCCCTCGTGAACTTCGGGAAATCGGCTCTGAATATTTCGATCTCGCGAGTTACACGCGTAACGTTCCCGCGAGCAACGTCGATCGAGTCGTATCGGCACACACTTCGATTATATTATTCCCCATCATCATCGGGATTGCTGATAGTCGCGATCCCAACGTTGCGATCCGTGACCCTCGGCAAACGCCAATTTTTCAATTTTGTCTCTTTTGGAGCACGAAGCCAGCCACGGTGGACGCCTATTTATAGTCAGCGGAGCGAGAGTAAGTGGCACTCGCTCTTGTTGCTTCAATTGTTATCCCTTCCCCCTCTCACCCGCTTGCCCTTCCTCTCGGGCCTCGATGACCCGAACATCCGGGTAAATGGGGCAGAGGGCGAGAGTCAAGAATCGCCCTGCCGCGGGTTATCTCGCCGACATCTTCGGAATAAGGTCATGTTGATTGCGACACGTTCTTCGCGTGTGTACCATCCGATAAACTCGATCGCGATCTCGCGTACGTGCGCGGCGTCGTTATACGCGGCGGTCAACAGTTCAACCCTGAGACATGCGTCACTGCCTGCCGCCGCCTTCTTTCGGGGTCGGACGTTGGCTTCGACTCGGCTCACATTTCATTCGCTGCGAAATCCGCACGTAACTTAATTGCTCGCACGCGCGCCATTCGTCGCCGGGTCGAAGCACAATCGTAAGCGATTCGATTATCTCTCCTCCCCTCCCCCCTCTTCCTCCGTTTACGACCGTTTAGTTTTAGCTCGGTTCAAAGTTCAATTCTCCTTATCTCGTTTTTATTAACGCATCCTCCGGAGAGAGCGAGACGCGTTTCCATCTCCGATGCGTACCCAACGGAATTTATTCGCATCGCCGGAGCGAGGACGAGAGGAGGAATACGCGTGTGCTTGTTTCTTCATTCATTCTCTCAATGCGTACGTGTTTTCTCGCAAACTTTGATCGACCGAGGCGCGGGCGTGTTATCATCAACAACGGAAGCTCCGATGTCGGCTCGGAACATGGCACGCAATCGAGATGCATCGGAGCGGACGAGACGCGCGCTGCTATCTAGAGACGCCATTGTCTGTGTGCTCCGGAATCGATAGTTTCGCCAGCCGTTAATGAGATTTTATTCCGAAGGATTTCTCGACTAAGGTGATCACGATTTCATCCCGAAGCCCATTCGCCTTTCATTAATAATTCGTAGATCCTTTAGATTCACAGGTCGTTATGTGACCGTCGCTATATGAGCTTAATATCGCCATGATAAACGCGAAATGATCGAGCGAAATAAGCAGCTTGCTTCTATAACTTTTAAATATTAAATAAATACAAAGCAATATTAAAATACGACTGCTTTTTATAATTTGGTCCGCCGTATTGGATCCGCCATTTCTACTTTTGCAATTCCGACGTTGGATTTGTGTTCAGTAGCCCCGAAAAAAAAAACCGACAAAAACAAGTCGGTATTAAAGTACGACTACTTTTTCCATTTTGGTCCGCTGTATTGAATCCGCCATTTGAAATTTTGTGTACCCGACCTTGGATTCGTGATCATCGATCCGCAGAATTACTAAATGTAGCTTTCGGTAACAATCTAATTAAACTTCGAATTGCGGCCACTTTTTCCGGTCTCCTGGTCTTCATCACCTGTGCTCAGATGTCCGCGTTCATACGTCTGATCAACGCGGTGGCTCCCGCACATATCCCGTGGTTGTACAGAAAATGAAACTCGCCAAGCTCGTCAATTTTTTCTTATCGCGCTTGGAGTCGTCGGAATAAACAAATTCTGACGGAAGAGACCAGAGGGTCAGTGATCTTTCGGCGGTCACAGGACACGGCTCTCATACTCTCTGGCGAATTCGCGCGAAAATGAATATCGCAATAAACCGTTATGGTCGTGTTCCAGCGACGTTTATCGCGCATGGTGGGCGTCGACACGCGGAGATTACCGAGGTAGTTTCTTCTGCCGATGGCTGCCTTTTTAAGGAAAATATCCCGAGCACGTGGAACGTTACCTGCCGTTCATCAGGTCGGCGATCCGCAAAGGGCATTCGCGTTAATTATCTTGCCCCTGTAGAGATACGCTCGGCCTCCACGTCAAACTAATAGCTACACACACACACACACACCACGTAGAAGATTGATTCAATTACTCCATCGTGTAAACGCTGCAATCCATCGAAAATTAACGTCCAGGCGATTCCACGCTCTGATCGTTCATCATAAATTGAAAAGGTCGACTGTATCTAAGAGAGAGCTACTTTTTTTTGGCGCGCTGTCTCGAGGTTCGAGTAAGATATCTGAATTTTTTAAAGCGCACAGTCGACGATTGAGAGGAAAATGATGTATGAGACATACGGAAGGAGGATTATTTTTGAGATCTGCTCTCATTACGAAGTCGCGCATCTAAGAGGGAATTTATGTATTACGGATTGAATGCACTCTTTGTACACGAATGATTTATGATCCCTGATTTATAATAAGCTCTTTAGATGTTACAACTACGATACATACAAGAAATATGACCAATACGAACGGGAGCATTTTCCTGATGCTTTTCGATATTTTATGGACGGGCAACTTTTATCAGATTAGTCGTGTTGTGTCGATAGTATTACTACCGATACAATACGACTAATGTCGTAGTATTACTATAATAATCAAAATTAACAATGACGAATATTCCTGCTTGAGAGTAGAATATCGACAACCGAGCAGATGGCTCAGTGGTCTAGGGGTATGATTCTCGCTTTGGGTGCGAGAGGTCCCGGGTTCAAATCCCGGCTGAGCCCGATATTTTTTCTTTTTTGTTTTCGCGGATTTTTACGAGTTAACACACTAAATGTAGTCTCCTTAAAGCAAATTTTAATATTTTTGTTTAAAAAGATAATACAAATTTTTATCTGTATGGTCGCACAATAATAAACATTTCCTCGAACGGCTCAGTGGTCTAGGGGTATGATTCTCGCTTTGGGTGCGAGAGGTCCCGGGTTCAAATCCCGGCTGAGCCCGGTCGTTTCTTTTTTTGTATCGTATTGCTCGTAAAATAAAATTCCCTGGAATTTGGCGACAAATTCAACGTTTTTTCTCTTACTTTTATTTGTAATTATATCGTAATAACAATTTTTTTATTATTATTGGTTGCACAATCGCACGATTTATTCACACGGAGTGACGTATATTTTTTTCTTCTCATTTAAAAGTCGAGAGAAAGCGCGGCTCACAGAGGAATTTTAAGCCACCCCATTTAACAGATAATCGCTCGTCCGCACAATTTTTCCGGGCAGCCTTTATTGCAGTAGCGTCATTAGTCTTTCTCTGATTGTTACAGGACTGGCAGCATGGCGGCCGAAGAAGGAATGTTGGGCGGCGGCCTGGGCTCGAAACTGAAATGCCCGACTCCTATATCGCGGTTGAGGGTGGAGAAAATCGAGGGTGGCCTGATGGTAGCCGGCGTAGTGATAGCCGCGAACTGTCAGATCGCTCTTCCGGCTTTCGGATTTCTCTTCATGCTCGTCGGTGCCGTACTCACTGGTTCGTACTTTATTCCTTCTTATAGTTTCGTACTTCGATTAAATTTGCACGGATGCGGGAAAATGTGCCACTTTTGCACAGTCCTCATCGCGACACATATATTATTTTCATTTCTATTAATATATTTAAAATAAAACAACGTGTGCCTCTCTTTCTTTCCCTATCTCGTAAGATTATTCTGAAAAGAATACAACGTGAATAAACACAGTTAATTTAAACTTCACTCATTGTGAAGCTACCGTACATCGTGTACTCAGTGTATTCAAGACATCATTTTAAGATCCGCCGCAAGTTTCACAAACATTGTACCTCAGAATTACATTTCGCGCATAAAAGCGGCGTCTCCAAGATATCATTATACTTCTTCATAAAACGCACCCGTCGCATGGCGGTCTGTGCAGCAGCGGCAGCAGCAGACCCCGTTAAATATTTTCTCCGCAGTCACGGGCGCTCGTATTTCAACCGCGCGCATCCGACGTCAAACGCGTCTTTCATTTCACGCTCACATATATATATATATATATATACACGTTTTTTTTCATTAGGTAAATAAAAATAAGCGCCGAACGCGAGCCGGGCGAGCCATCACGTAAAAATGCAGCGGAAATGTCACGGGCCTCCCCGTCGGGACATGCTCTCGAAATAAATACGGCTTATTTTTCTCTCTCTTGTTCTCCCGTTCTTGCCGGGGATTTTAATCGCGTGGCGCATAATTTTTATAATTAGACGCGCGCTCGTATAAATTGTCACGTTACGGGAACGCCGTGCGCACAGTCACGTACGACAATCACGTCAGTCGAGCGAACGAGTCTCGTGAATATTCACGGATCCTACGTCCTGGTGTCCCTTTTTTCCCCTTCGCGGCGTTATTTTGTTACGCGTCATTTGCATTCGCATTTGCATCTCACGATCGGACCCGCAAAATTCGCGACGGCGGTCTGACGGTGAAGAACAGTAGCTGAGAGTGGTTTCAATTTCGTTGAACGAGGATTATCGACGAGGCACGCTTTAAGGCACGTTCACCTCGGCTCTCCCGTCGTCAATTGCAGACTTGGGGGAACGCGTTATTTCGCGAGCGAAGTTTTTCCCCGACGTTGCTCGCGGCTCGTCGTTTGTCAATTTCGACTGCTTGTTTTCATTCACTCGCCGTATACTCGCCGCTTGCATCCGCGTGCAAATAGAGTAACGTGTTACCTTGGCAGATCGGTGTAATTCGAAGCTTTCCATTTCAGAGAAAGCATAGGCTCTAATCGTATGTGGGCCGTTTAGAAAGGGGAATCGATATTTATATTGAGAGACGAGGGGAGAACCGTAATGATTCATTAGCTCTCAACGAGAAAGTGCAACCTCTTCCGTATTGTTTCGTCGCGATCAATCGTTCTTCTTTATCGTTATTATTATTCAATTCAATCGTTTTATTATTCGATTCAATATATTCCGTTTGCAGCGCTTCTGTTATTACGAAACGAGCATAGCTTTCAATCCGCAAAGAGATAATGAAACGCGCGCAATATTTTACTCGTTTATTCGCGATACTCTTCGAAATGAAACACGGACTTGTGTCGGACATAAAGTTGTCAATAGACGACGTAACGAATGGATAACTCACAAGCCGGCATTCCTCGTATTCTAATCGGACTGAAGCCTTCGCTGACATCCTATAAGCGGATTAATTACATAAGACAGGAAGCCGTATCCAGTCAAGCTGAGGCGCAGCGGTGGTAAAGCTGTGCGAGAGCGCGAAAATACCTGAGATGCTGCAAACATGAAAGCATCATCATATTTAAGCGAATTATGTTAGCGAGTTATATTGATTTTATTTTTTTACTAATTAATTATATCGCGATTGAATAGAACTTGCTCCACTTCCGTTGTGCTCGAATATTAATATTAATAATAGTTTCGCCTTCAGTGTGAAAAGGTCTCCGCAAAGTCTTTCAAGAATCCTCTCGTCTTGCAAACGAATTGATATTAATTTCTTATCGTGTTGCTTTTTAATTTACGTTATTATCAATATTATCGCGAATTATTATATATTATTTTATTATAGTTCTATTTTGTTATTCCACACAGACACACTATTATTATTATTATCGCAAAATTGCTTATTATACGCGTTAAAATCATTTGGTCTGGACGTTAATAATACACGAAGATTTCTTTTACGAGGTGCGGATTTATATCCGCGCGAGAGACCTTCGGAAACCTCTTATCCGAAGGTTCACGCGCACATTCGAAGCTACTTCCCGCCTTTCCCGTTGAATTAATTTGAGAGCCGCTATAGAGTTCGTTTGTCGTGGGCATTGACCCCGCGGAGATAGCACCATAGATACTGCTTTCGTATCTGCGAGGCAAGAAGACAGACGAAGACGAGCGAGAAAGAGAGAGAGAGAGAGAGAGAGAGTGAGAGAGGAGGAGGAGGAGAAAGAAAAAGAAGAGGAAGGCGCGAGAAGAGGCACGGGCTGTTAGCCGAGAGCAACAGCTGGCCCTTCGCAACATCGTCACTTCTCGGGCCACGCTTCTTCACATGTACGCGGGGTGCCGAGCGTTGTTACCAACCGATTTATCAAAAACCGGTCGCCCGATTGGTTCTCTCTTCCTCTCTCTTTCTCTCCTCTCCTGCTTCTCGTCACGCTTTTCTGCCGCCTGCCGTCGCAGCCGGCCGTCGCCGGCCAAGACCGGTTTCTGCAGACCATTTTCCTTTCGTTATTTCTAATCTGGCTCTCTTCTCTCTCTCTCTCTCTCTCTCTCTCTTCTCTTCTCTTCTCTTCTTCCTTCGGGACACTCCAGATATTTTTCTCGGTCTTCGTCACTCACTCGAGTCACGTTAATGTCTTTGTTACGGGCGCTTGTCGCATCCGGATCGTCGGATCGCCCCCCCCCCCCCCCCCCCNCCCCCCTCACGGTTGATGGAGTCGACGTCAGGGACGTTTGGTCGTTGATTGCACGAATTGAACGGATTTTAGCCGCGCGTGAGGACGGTGCAAAGTCGCCGTCGAAAATCTCGCGAAAGTCGACGCGTTTATTCGCGACTACGTTCCCCTGAAATTGCTCGCTTTTTTTTCTTAGGAGGAGGAAAGAGTTTTGCGTATCGTTGATACGCGGTTTATCGATGCTGTTGCGCGACAAGAGAGAGACGGGAGACTGCGAGAGAGGAAGTCACCGCCGAATCTGCGCATGCCGACGTTACGAAGCGTTTCGCCGGCGTTATCGATTAAAATATGCTCGAAGGCGAACACTCGCGCCTCCGCGGAGGCGCGAGCGTATTTACGCGCCGTAATTTCCGCGACTTCGTTCACGGGGAGTCGCGTTTTCTCTTTAAATATACCACGAGGCTGCGGCTTTCCCCCCGTCGGCTCTCACGAAGATAAGTGTAGGAGAAAGAGATAAAAGGGAGGAGGAAAAGAGAGGGAAAAAACGAACATGTTCTACTACGTCCTACGCGCCGCCGTATTTTCTCCCTTCGAGAGAGAACGTAACATTTTTCGTCGCGAAAGTTTCGCCCGTGTTGCGGCATTACAGTCGGCAGCCGATAGTTCGAAACCTGTTCGAAGTCTGTGTCGGGACCAATGTGATCACAAAGTCTCTCGCCGAGCGATTTTGTGGCATTGCGCAAAAGACACGCGAATGGAGCGTAAAGCTTTACTTACCGAGCTTCTAGGAGCTTGACTCCCATAAAAGTCGAGCCCGATGCGCCCGAGATGCGGTCGTTCGAACAACGTGGTGCTTGTCGTCCGATGACTCTCGTGAGTTTACGCGAGAACAAATGTATACAAGGTCTCATTTAAGCGGTATTTAACAATGTTTACACTCTGTCACTCGGTTAACGAATTATTACATAATTATTTGTCTCCGTCGAATACGACAGAGTCAAATTTAGCTGAAAAAATATTGAACCGAGTTCTCCAACTGAAGAATACGATGCTTCACGGAATGAAAGAAGTAGCTTCCACTAGTAAAAATAAGTTATCCATGTAATACAACTGAAATTTAATTAATTTAGCTCATTCTTCTTGTATCTATATCTATTTTTTAACTTTTACAGCTAAAAATTAAATCTGATTAACTAAATTTTAGTTATATTATATACACTGAGAAAAAGATCTCTTCAGATTTAATAAATTTGATTGCATCCAAACAAATCTCATCATTGGCATGCTCCAAAGAATGTTTCGATTACTAAGTACGATTGTTAGACTTTTCAACGAAAATTTGTATCTTTACCTTAAATAAAAAAATTTGTCTGAAGCGAAAGACAATCTTCTCCTAAAAAAATTATTTGTTTCGTTTATATATATTACATTTATTTATTGTGACCAAATGATATTTTGTTTGGTTAAAAGATATTATTTGAAATAATAGCGTTCTTTCTGTCAAATAATAGAGTTCTCTTGAATGAGACAATAAAATTTTTACTCAAACAAATAATGTTATATTTCGTATATGTTATTTCTATGAAACAAATTTTATTCAAATAAAGAGAAATACTAAATCTAAAGAAATCTTTTTCTCTGTGTGGACAGCTAATTCCCTTTTTCCGTGTTGACACGTGGAAACGGCTGAAAAATATATATCGGCAATAACGGAATAAAGAGTAATCAACTTCTGCCGTTCATTAACGACCGATCCGCTCGTTTCTCTCTGTTACAGCTGCTTCGTACCGAGGCCCGGGCGAGGACGAGGACAAGAACTCGTACGCCGCGCGAATTGCCTTTACCGGCAATTCCCGTATTCTAGGGCCGATCTGCATAGTCGTGGGCGCCCTTATGCTCGCGCTCGGGGTGCTGCTCTGCATGCTAACGAGAAGGGCCAGGCGGAGGGAGCGTAGGGTGGGCTTCCACTGTCCGCTCCACGGAGATTTCTATCCTCTGAGTCCGGTCCAAGGTATCAAAATGCTCGGTGAGTTCATCTAGACGAAAGAGAGGCGGTCTCTCGCGAATAAATATTTACATTGTCTGTGTGTGTGTGCCGAAAGGCCGAGATCGCCGGCCGTATTCCCGTATACACCGAAAGGAAGAGATCATGTAGAAAGAAACGAGGTTCGAGGTTACGCAAATTTGCTCACGCAAATTACGACCGAGTTAATTTCAATGAAAACAGTCAAGCTGGATCGACAATCTGACATGGGAACTCGCAAAATTTGATCCATCAATGCGTCGGGTCGGCCTTAACCCATACTAAATTTTGAGCCCTCAAAGAGCCGGTGGTTTGCGCAAACGGGACATTAAAAAACTCGAAATTTGCGGAGGGAATCAGGACGGTTGGGACTCGTCACATGCAAAACCCCTGAAATCGAGTTTCTTAACTCGATTTCAGTCGCTTCGACCGAGATCATTTTTATAGCGCGCGTAAACATTACAAAGCGCTCGCTATATGCATACGGAAGATTCGAAACTATATTTCACAAAGGTTTCGATTACACATTTCGCTGGCGTGGTGGCGCTTTTCGAAGGCGCTCGCCCAGAAATATTTCAATATGTTCCGCGGGCACCGGCGGCGTTATCGTTCGTTATGCGATCTCATCGTATCGGATTCCTCGCGAGTGCGCGAAATGGATCCAGCGATTTTTAGGAGTATCACTTACCCGGTCTCTCTCTCTCTCTCTCTCTCTCGCCTTCTTTCGATGAAGCGATGCGCGCTCGGATCGACCGAGATTCACGAGTACTTTTATCGAACTCGATCCCATCTCTCTCCGGTCGTCACGCGTTCGCGAGCGAAGTATGTAGGCTGCCAACTCGCCGGCGGTAAACGTTCTCGCGTGAGCACGAGGACTCGTTTCGCCCTTTTTTCCTTCCTTTCTTCTTCCTTTTTTCTAGATAATCTCGCGCGATCACAATAACTCGCGAGATCCGTATGTACGGCGCGCATGCAATTATCCCTTCGGTCGCGGGACGACGCGTCCGGCAATTTCCGATGATACCTTTTTCAAAGAGACGAGCCTCTAAAACACTTCCCGAGAAAAGATCTCGTCGAGCGTGACTCCCGCGTCGTCTCGCCACGCAATATCCCACCACAATGGTCATTATCATCGTGTCACGCGATGCTATTACACCCTTTGCGATGTTTCGTCCAAATTATGGTTAAGTGGTGGAATTCGCAACGAACGTGAATTACGCGTCGCCGAATCGCGTTAACCAGCGCCGAAGTGTGCGCGAGTCGCCCGGATGCCACCTTTTCCGTTCTCGTCTTGAGTGACGGCCGTTTGTCCCAAATTTGTATTCTTAATTAAACGCACCTAAAATCGAATATTAAGAATTAACATTTAATTCTAGATCTAGATATGTTTTATTAAAAATTAACATTCAATTTTGGACATAATAGGAAATATATTTGGATATAATAGGAAATATATGAAACCAGAATTAAATATATATTCGACACCTAATCTCTTTTATTCTGGACGGAGAAGACAAACGAGTCCCATTTTTCTCACATGAGCGTCTCACTTATAACGTCGTTTCCGCTTGAGATTCGGCAAGGCGCGTCCAAAGCAGGAGCCCTATCTCCTGTAAATCTTTCGTGACAGCGCCGTGTCAATTACACCGACTGCAGCGCCGATATACCGCCGATAACCGTGATCTTAACCGATCTCGCGAGAACGAGTTTACAAATCACTCCGGCGACTTTTACGACATCGTCGCGAGCAGTCTTAGGAAACCCATTCGGCGATGGGTTACACTTGGCGTGCCAGTTCGTATCAATTGCTTCGAATTCAGGACGAGGCTGGATCAGGGCCGAGTAGTAGTGGTAGTAGTAGTGGTGGTGGTAGGGTAGCTAACTGGATTGTCGGAATTCAGGCTAATGCGACTCTATCAGATTATTGCGTGGGTTGAATGTGCGCTTGCGTGGCGAATCCAATGAGTTTCCGCGTTCTCGGGCTCCGCCGAGAGATCTCTCACGGATATCGCACGCGATAAGGATTCTCTTTTTTCGTTATCATCTCGGTTTAATTTCATCGCTCGTTCCGTTCTCCGTCAGCGATATGTGTCGACTTCGAAGAGTCGCGCGAGAGAATCGTGGTGGAGAGGAGAAAGAGAATCGCGCTGAACACCGAGTTTTTATTTTTCCGCCTGAGACGTTTCGCCTTGCATCACACGTGACATGAAAAATGCACGCGTGCCGCGAGGTGTGCCGGTTCGAAAACGCGGACAATTTTCGCCGATTAAATATTGAGCGGCTGAATCGGTTATTTTCCGGCGACACCGATGGACACCGCGGGTGGGACGTAAATTTTTCAAGAAGCGCTCCGCGGTATCAAAGTTTCAGCCCCGCTCGGGGAATTCGCGCGCCCGTGTACATATATCCCGGACACGAATTCCGGAGAGAGTCGTCACCGTGGCGACCGTGTGACAGTTCCTGCCGTGGGCAGGGGCGTCGCGAACGTAATAAAAATAGCGCGCCGGTCATTTTCCGCGCTCTGAAACATTCTCCAACTTGAATTCCCCCCCGATGCGTTTTGTTCTTTTTCCCGAAAACCCGGTGAAACCTCTCTGTTTCCGACGGAACTTTTACATACGACGGCTCGAGGCGAGATAACTCCTCTTGCTCCTCCGCCCCGCCACGATATTGCGCTGTAGAGCCGTTATCTTTCTTTATCAATTCTCGACGAGAAAGGTTTCCGAGGAGGGATAAGAAATTATCTCAAACGTGTTTCCGACTGTGTGTCGGCCTGAGCGAAGTTAGCCCCCCTTGTTTTTTTTTTTTATTAACTTATTCCCACAGTTTATGCTTTGTGCACAGTTTATGGTTTGTGCAGTGAGAAAAAGATTTGAGCAGTTTTGGTCAATACAGAGCAAAATTAACGTTTACATACGTTATCACTTAGTCAAACGGTATATAATTCCATATCTGAGTTGTGCCAGCATAACCCGAGTCAACACAAGCTCTGATTTCGCCGGTGCTAAAATGTAAAGGGCACTTTGCTCTTGACCGTGGATCCTTCGCGCACACAATCTGTGTCCATAACTACGGTTTCTAAACTTTGTATCAAGGCGGAATTGTATATTTGAGTTGTGCCAGCATAGCACAAGTCAACACAAGCTTCGGTTTCGCTAACGCCAAAATTTTACAGGCACTTTACTCGGCCCTTCGCGCTCGCAAATCTATGTCCGTAAGTACGATATCTGGACTTCGTACCGTTGCGTTGTGTAAGTTATGGTTACAAACTTGGCTACAAATCAACCCTCCTGTCGAAATACGTTAACTCGAAAAGAGGGGGGGGGGCTAACTTTGGGCTGTCTATTGGTAGATTTTGCGCTGCGTTCCGACACGAATTACGTCGCTTCTTCGGGCAGCCGTTGGTAATCTGAATTGCGCGAGAGCGCAATTTTGTTGCGGTAATGACGAGCGATACGAATGCGTTGCCGCTTTACGACAAAACGACGAAATAGCGTCTGGCTCCGCGAAGCGTGGATAAACACCGCTCGTCTCGCGGAAGGAACGCCGCAAAAAGCACGCGCGAGGGTCTAGCTTGCTTGCCTGCCTGCTGGTGGACAATCAGGGCGACGGCATGGAAAGCGTGACCGGCGAAGCTAACCGTGAGAAAACACGGGGAAACGAAAGAAAAAGTGTGAACGCTCCCGGATACCTGGACGATACCTGGACATTCCGCGACGATGCGTGTCTCCGGACTTCTGAGCTGCAACGCGGAATAAATTCCGCGGAAAATCCAGATTCGTACTCGGAGATATCGAGGATGTCGGGAACGCTGATTGAATTCTCGATCTGATGGTGGAATAGGAAGTATCGGATTATGACGTAACTTCGGATGGAGTCTTGACGGCACACCGATAGAAAATTATAGTTATTTCCGGCGCCAAATATACCCCTTTTTCGGTTTTGGCCACAAAAATAAATAATAGCAACAATTCGACACTATAATAACATTTAATATAAGAGTGATAATAACTTTACATATGCGTCGCTCTATTTTTTAAATTAAAATCTGAAAAAAAATCTGTTTGGCGCCGAAAATAACTCTAATTTTCCATCAGTGTAAATCGTGTCGGGACGATGAACTACCTACCTTCCCGTTAGCAAGCTCGTTTCTCGCTTTAGTTAAAGGGCAGACCGAATCTAAATTAATCGAAGAGCCTTTCGGTAAAATTCAGCTCGGGGGGATTCCCGGCTTTCACGGGTCTCCCTTCAACCCTGGCAGACTGTTCGCGAGTCCGCTCTCTCCGGCGCGGTATCTTCGCGAGCGTTCACGTTTCGACAAATTCGTCTCGTCGTCGTCGCCGTCGGCAGTTGTCAATGACAGGGAAACTCCGTAAAATTCTATCTCCGCGAGCGAGCGGAGTATGACATGGCGATAAGTTCGTACGCAATTTTCCTACGAGAGCGAGTCTCCGGCGATGCGTGAGATTCCGTTGCGCGCGAGATTCGCTGCGCGGCGGGGAAACGCATCCGTGATGATTTGTCCCTCCAATTTCTTCCTCTCCCCTTCGTCGTCGACGGAAGCGAAGCGGAAAAGTGGGCACTCGTCCGAATCGGTCGACTTAGCGCGGCCGACAGGTTGTCTCGATCTAAATGCAAATTCGCGCGAATACGTCGACGGACTCGCGGCCGCGAGAACGACGCAGCCTTGATACATCCTCCGCGGGTCGCACGCACGCAAATCACATAATCGCGATCGACACGTGGGGTCGCGAAGACGGAGTGACGCGAGGCCGCAGAGGAGGCGAGACGTTTCAATCAACACTCACTGCACCGATCACTGCGCATTCGCTGATGCATCGCTGAGATGCATGCGATGAGATAAGAATCCATAACTGGATGACTAGAGTATCCGGGTGTCTTTCGAATATTAACCGGACATTCAAGATACCCGAGTGGTACCCGAGATCCTTCACTCTTCTCTGTTGTGCTGTTCCATGCGTACACTTATTGTGCAGCTACACAATAATTGCCCGAGTGAAAAACGCTGGCCGTCTATGAAAGTTCCGCCCTGTTCGGATGACGGTTGCTGGCTGCCGGGAACGCGAGGTGCCCCGTCGTTGAACGGTCGTCGACGGTGGTTCAGCAATGACATTAGCGGGCTGTTGTACAGGACGCGAACTGGGTCGCGCGGGGCTCCTCCCGAGGTCCATGACATCTGTTGCCCTCGATCCTCCTCTTTTCTCCTCTTCTTCATCCTTTTCCTCCTCCCCCACCTTCGTCCCCGGATGTGGGTCTTCTCCATTTTAACCCCTTTCTGTCCGCCCCTTTCAACGGTACGCCACGGCGACACCAGCCATAGCCGTCGGTTAACGTCGTTACCGTGAACGCGCGCGCCCTTCGTCTAATCGTATCTCGTCGACTACACAGTATTTTACGAGCGGTCGCTCCAAGTGACTGTTACCAAAGAAGATAAATGTGACGTTCGCACGCATATATATATATATGTGTATGTACGCGTACATGTATATAAAATATACAAACCGACTCGTGTCCGAGAAAGACTCGGCTGGAAAACGCGCATCGTAAACGGCGTTCCCTTGCGAACGGTTGATTTGTGATTCCATTAGATGACCCGAGTGACTCGATTAGGTGACTATTAATGATGTTATCGCTTCTACGTTTCCCTCTTTTTTTATTACTATTTCATGTTTCATATCGCTCCGTCTAGCTCGCTATGTACCATCCTATGTATTATGTGCAAATCGATTATTCGAGAGAAAGAGAGAGAGAGAGAGAGAGCGCAAGAACGCAAAAACTTGATCTCTCGGGAAAACCGACCGATGGAAAAAGATCAGTTGTAACTTTATTCCGTAACTTTTAACGGCAAACGTTGTTATCGTCACGTTATCGGCGCGCAGTTTTTACACTATGTGTTATACCTACGGCAACGACAACGTAACGATATTCCAGTCGTTAAAAGTTGTAGAATACATCTACTGGACCGATAGAAGCAATTCGTGTGACTTTTCGTGCGAGAATTTCCGCAGTCGTTACAATTCTCAGCTACGTGTCATCAGTGCGAGCTCACAATTAGCGTCTATTCTTGAGATTTGCTCGTAGGCGTGCGAGAACCATTTCGTCCGCGTCTCGCCGACGAGAAGATACCTGTGCGTGTCGCATGACGGAGCGTCCGTTTCGTTGATCACGGTATTCACGGACGCGACGACGAAGCGGCGTCTTTTATTATTACCGCTAAAAGCTCGTCCGAAACGCCAGATGTTGCGCCGCCGTGTTTCGCAGAGCGGATCGTGGCATAAGTTGTGCGCGTCGATAAATTTTTTTTTCCCCTCATGCAGTCGTACGTGTACACGCACCCGTCACCTACCCATCCACCCGCGTGACGGACGTACACCGTCCGGCTTTTCCTCGATTCTTCGAGCAGCGAGGCGATTTTCCCTTCGCGAGAGCGGACGACGCGACGTCTCTCGAAAAGCAACGTCATCCTTCTCATCGACGTGGACTTCACGGCCTGTTACACGTCATCCGTTTTATTCGCACGCGACGCTGTCCTCTTTGTTCGCGAATTCGCTTGAGACCGAGCCCGCGATGTTCCCCGCGGCGGTAACGACGAGAGATCGATGAAGTTATCCTCTTCGAATTATCGGCGATTTTCAATCGCGAGCGACCGGAGATTTCACTTCGAGAATTAAGCTCGAAAGGTCCCAAGCGCGGTCGGGAAAGTTTATTCTCTCGGACTCAGCGATGAGTTCTCGTTC